CTTTAGCTTACTTCATTAGAGATGTCTACATATTTATATACAACAATCTAACTTTAAAAAACCTTTCACTAATTCAAGTTCCAATAAGTTTATTGTTTAAAAATATCTGGTAAATTAAAAAAAGAAAATAATTCAAATATTTAATTGAAACATTTCTGAAAATACACTAATAAAAGATTACTTACAACCTTGATCAAAAGAAGGGTTTGTTTTTTTAAGTAACTTTGAAAAAGGCAAAGACCAAGTGGCAATCATTTAATAATATTAACAGGCTTTACAAAGTAGGTTATATATCTCACTAAAGAGATAACTAAAAGTAAGACATGAAAAATAAAGTAAAACATTTGAAAAACATATTAACCCATATCTACATCTATATAGATAGATATAGATATCTATCTATACCTATAGATAGATAGATAGATAGATAGATAGATAGATAGATAGATAGATAGATGAAAGAAAGATAGATATAAAAGGCTAATATGCAAAGTGTCCCCTTGGGAATTTGACCAGGAGACCGAGAGTTTGATTGCTCGCTATGACATGCGCTGACCACAAGGGGGCGGGGCAGAACAAAGGGAGGCCCTGGCTGGCAGCCAGCAGACAGGAAAGGGAGGTCCTAATTGCTGGCCAGACCTAGGGACCCTACCTGTGTACAAATTTCATGCACCAGGCCTCTAGTATTCCCATAAAAAATAATCTGAATAATTTAGAAAATAATACTTTCATTTCTAAATTCTACAATATTGTATAATTAAATCTTATTCTATTAGCACTACAAAAACAAAAAATTAATAGACCTGTGGTAAAACTGGTCATTTAACACTTTAAGCACAAAAATTTAATCACATTTCATTGCCATTTTATATTCATATTAAAATAAATTTAAAAGCAAAGAGAAATAATTAAAATAATTCAAATCACATAAGTGTCCATATAAAATATAAGCACATTATTAAATCGAGTAAATGGAAATTTTTATCAAATAAAATGGCAATCTTTTAATTGCTCATATTTGTATGCAAGATGGAATTTTTAAAGAGTCCCTCTTACTTATTTTTTTTAAATATGTTTTTATTGATTTAGGAGAGGAAGGGAAAGGGAGAAAGAGAGAAGAAATATCAATGATGAGAGAGAATATCACTGAACGGCTGCCTCTGCATGTTTCACACTTGGGATTGAGCCCGCAACCCAGGCATGTGCCCAGACCAGGAATCGAACCGTCACCCTCCTAGTTCATAGGTCAATGCACAACCACTGAGCCATACCAACCGGGTATCCCTTTTACTTTTTAAAACAAATTTATTTTGCCCTAACTGGTTTGGCTCAGTGGATAAAGTGTCAGCCTGTGGACTAAAGGGTCCCAGGTTTGATTCCGTCAGAGGCATGTAACTTGGTTGCAGGCACATCCCCAGTAGGGGATGTGCAGGAGGCAGCTGATCGATGTTTCGAACTCTCTATTCCTCTCCCTTCCTCTCTGTAAAAGCTCAATAAAATATATTTTAAAAAAACATTGGTTTATAAAAACATTGCAATAATTTTATTAAATAAATTTTATTTCTTACCACTACCTCAATTAACAGGGCTATTGATCTGAACAAAGCAACTCAATTATCCAGAGGGAGAACCTTTCCTTACCGGTCACACAGGGGAGTACTTCGCCCTTTGGAAATCTGTTCCATTTTATAATTATAGGCCAGAATAAACAGATTACGTTGAAAACTACTCATTTCATTTACTTTATTCATGACATTTTTGTAGATTCGATCCATGATTTCCTAGACATATAAAAATTAGTTAATACAGTTAATGGTGTTATCAGCTGCCTTACACATATTAAAATCTTCACATCAAATTAATAGTTCTATCAATATTGAGACATTTTAAAAGATATATCCCATCAGGAATACATTTTTAAGATACAGCCAAAATTAGTTTTAAAATGAGGTTTCTGTGAAAATAATTTTTAATAGCAAACATATAAGTAAATGTTCATTAATTAGTAGTAAAAAAAAGAGAGAAAAGTATTTGGGCAGTAATAAATCATTATTGATTTTTTTATATTGCTTTTTTTCATCTTATTTATTCTGAACTAAAAACTGAACTCATTAAGTAAATAAACAACTATATGAAATGGTTTTAGTTATAGAGTAGCACATTCTTTGCTCTAAAGAGGACCTTGGGTTATTTTGGTTGGTTTTGTCTTTCAATGCTGCACCCAGGAATTTTTCCTTGTCTGCACTATATTTTGCTTGCTAGGTCTATTACTACTATGAAATATACTTTAATGACTTCACATAGAGTTTCCTCTACAATATCAAATTATATTGAATTTTTACATGAACTGAAAATTTAAAGCAAGATAGTACTAAGAAAACGATATACCTATAGAAATTCCAAAATTGCCAGTCATTTCTGTTTGATTTTGGAATAACTATGTAATTGTACTTAGACATGAGCGCTCAAATATCTGACCATAATTTCCAACACTTTCAAACAAAATCAGAAAGCCACATAAGACTTACGTAAGGAGAGAAATCATTGTGTCTCAGTTCCATTAACCTTACTCTCAGGCCCCTCCCATTCAAAGTGGCACCAACTTCTCAGTCACTTTTTTTGGTGTCTTGGCCAGACTTTCCTGAGGACTCAGGAGGTAATTACACTACTTGCTTAGAAGGAGGTAATCTTAACCCTTCTCTCCTATCTCCTGCTGAACTTCAAGTTTCTACTAATAGCAAACAAACCTCATGAAAAGAATTTGAACAAGAAACTATTTAGAGAAAGGCACTGATGATATAATAAGATGGACTAAATCTATAGAGCTTCAAGTAATACAGAAAATCAATGAAGATAAACCCTACATGACCACCTCAACCACAGTATCTTTCCCACTAGCATGTATGTCTGTAGCAGGTGACTCTTCTTGAGAATTCAATACTAATTAGTGGTCAGTTCTTACCGGAACAGCTGCCATCAGTGTTGGCTTCAACATGGATGTATCCCCTTTGCTTCCTTTTTTTATTTTTGAAGACTATAGAGAGAAAAAGTGATCTATATGTAGTGATTCTTATTTTAAAATTCAATGAGATTCTTAGATTAAAAAATATATTCTAAATTTATCATTTTAACTTACTTATAATCTAAAAAGCAAGTGCTTATTTTAAAAGGAACTGTCATCTTCACAATATAATGTCAAACTGTCAGGGAAAATATGTTAAAAATGACTATGATTTGTTTGTATCTCAAGTCATAGACACTTAATTTACCTGATCTGCTAACGTCTGTGGTGAAGAGTAACCAATGCGGCATCCGTGAGAAAGACAGACAAGCTCCGCACTCAATTCCAACACGTGGGCCAGAGGCAAATAGCCAATGTAAACATCTTCCTCTCTGAAAGAAAAGGGAGATGTGAGAAGAAATGGTCAGGTGCACTCTCTCCGAAAGTGACTCCAGTAGGAGCAAGCTTGAGAAGGCACATGGGAAGGCCCTCAGAGCATCAGTTTGACTCCATGTGTGGTGTGGTGTGAGAGGAGAGCCAGGGAGGCGCACTATAACAGACATAAACACTGGCCTCCGCCGCATTTACTCGCTAAGACATACCCCAGGCGTGGAATCCTTTCCGCCATCCCCGTGATGCCAGCAATGATGTTGCTGTGGGAGATCATGACTCCCTTGGGAAGTCCTGTGGACCCGCTTGTGTACATGATTACTGCAATATCTGAGGGTGCCGGTGTGCTCTGAGGTTTGCTTTCTGTATTGGAGAAAAACACATACACAATACAGTTCTAAGAAATCTAGCCAAAGCCCTGATTTTTTCATAATAATGTGTTTATTAACTCAATTCAACAATTATTCATTGTAATCACACAGGTCGTCAAGAAAATAGATCAAGTCCCAGCACATAAGGAACATATAGTCTGTTGGGATAGACTAACATATAAATCTATCATATAATAAAAGCTATGAAGAAAAATAAAGCAAGATAAGTAAAGCCATTTAGATGAAAAAGTCAGGAGAGGCCTTTCTGGAATTGATATTCTAGTAAAGACCTGAAGAAAGTGAGAAAGAGCCAGGAAATTCCTGAGACTGAGAGATTTTTTTTAAGGAGAAAATAAGCAGGTACAAAGGCCCTAAGGTACGAATGTGCTTGGCATAAGTACAGAGCAGTAGGAAGTGTGATGGGGAGGTGCGAGCAAGAGAAAAGAGGCAGGAAGGAAGGGGAAGCAGCAGTCGGGCCCACATCATGTAGAGCCTTCGAGGCTATGCTAGGATTTAGGATTTCACTCCGGGAGAAAGCAATGTCCATCATCCTGGACAAGGATCACTTTGGCTGCTGTGTGGCTACCTAACTTAAGAAAGGCAAGGAAGGAGGCAGGAAGATAAAAGGCTAGTCCAGATATGCAACTAAAAATTGGGGTGATGGACAAGGGTACCTAGACATTTGCTAAAAACGTTCTCTGCTTCGCAGTGGTAAGTTAACTTGGCTACACTCGGAATCCTGGATTAAGGACAACGCCCTCCATTTGACAAGCCTAAGGACAGCAGCCAACATCCTACAGAGGAGACAGGGTAGAAAAAGAGAAGTGGGCCATGGGTGGCACTGATGATCTGCCTGAAATAATCCAGGAACTACCCTAAATGTGGACTTCCTAAGTAAGCAGGGGGAAAGTTTTCAACATGTTCTCAAGTGAACCCTTCCTCTCCGGCCTGCAGACACTTTTCAACAATTGTTCTCATTCAAGTCCTCACTCCCTAATCTACATCCACGCCTTCATCCCACTTCTTGGAACTTGCTCTCTGAGGTGACATTTGCTAAGTCAATGGTCCCCTTGCCCCCCTGTGTCATCTGGCTAGTCCTGTGCACCTTGTCCTGCTGACTCCTGCCTCACTGAGACACGATTTCTCCCTTCCTCTCTGACCAATCCTGGGTGGCATCTGAATGCACCACTCTCCATGGGTGACCTCACCTACTCCACAGCTAATTAAAACCTAACTGCCAGGCATCTAAGCTGTCTGTCATAGCAACAGTTTAAACAGGAGGTGCTGGCAGCAAGCAATGTCATCCCCTTTGGGGGCTAGAGCTGTGCCCCTCGAAGTGAATTGGAAGGCTCTCTACCCCTAGTAGAAGAAGAAAAACAAAGAAACACACTACTTCTGGCTTCTAAATCTCCTAACTCCAAACTTCACTGCAGAGTATGAGACTTGTACAGGCACTGCTCACTAGACAGTGCCATCTGAATGCCCCACCAGCACCTAAAATTCAATCTGCCCAAAATTAATGTCAGCATAACCCCATTCCAGACTTCAGCCAATGCTTACACTGAATTAGTCACTAAGTGTCCAACTAGAAAGGAAATACACCCAAGCATCTAAGCAGCTTTCTATGATATCCTTAAACACCAATATACTTGCTGACATTGAGAGAAGGAAATCCCGGAGTCACCATGCCTAGGTGTGCTAGGTTAAAAAGATGCCCCCTCTGGAAGAGGTACCGTTAGAATAGAGAGTAAACGGAGGGATCTGGGTTTAGCTATCTTGTAATACTCACAAATAATTATTCCACAGAGGACAAATTTAATGCCATTATTTATAAAATTAACTTTAAACCATCTAAAATTACCAGAAAAAGGAAATGGAAAAACTGTATAAAGTAAAACATGTTTAAAACTAAATTCAAATAAATACTATTTTTAGAACGTTTGTAGATTACTGCTTGTATTTTTCCTTTTACCTTTCTTGAAAGGGTAGATTAAAGTATACACAGAGTGATCTTACTCCGAGAGAGATGGTCTAGAAATTATTCTGGAAAGCATGGTCCCTGCAGAGCGCACAAAAGGGACAGGGAGCTGCGACATACCCGTGCTCGCCTTGGCTCCCAGAGCCTGCACTGCGGCCATGGTGTGCACGATGACGCCCTTGGGGAACTCGGACCAGGTAGGCGGCTTACCATCGACAGTGATGATGTGCCGCAGGCGTGGGGCTAAAGAAACTATATCCTGGAAACACACAAGCATTCACCATGTTCATTATTCTTCATGAAATAGCTTAGCAAATGGTCCAGGTCACAAGAAAAGCAGTTTACCATATTCAATGAATTATTACCTTCTTGCCTCAAAATAAAGGGGGGTGGTATGAATGCCCCTTTTTCAGATGAAGAAATATTGGTCTGAAATTTAAATTACTATTTTTTAGCGCCACATTTACTGGTATCTCTGCTCTTTGGTAAAACCCTGATCAACAAAGTTACTTCCTCACAAAACGGGCATGTACTGGTAAACATAGGCTGTCTAAACTGCAGGGAGCCAATCTCCTTATGTAATAAGAGGCTAATAGATGCAGAGGAAGGGGGAGGAATGGCACTCATTTATAAACTTGTGTATTTTTTTTAAATCAAAAATTATCTTTTAATAGGGAGTTATCTACAAATTAACAAAGCAAATTTTTCCTGTAGTTTCATAAAGTCTCTTTCCCCTTTAAAAAATTCTCAAAACTCATAATGAATCAATGCTTCAGAAATAAAATTATTAGTTTAAAAATAACCCTTCAAAAACTAAAATTTAATTTAAAATAGACTAGAAAATAGATGAGTACAATAAAGAAAAGGTTTATAAACTCCACCTTAGAAATGGGAATATTAATAATTTTTTAACTCTCTTGCACTAGTTATATGTATATATGAAATCCACTTTTTCTTTACTAAAGGAATAAAATGATATTCCTATAAGTTTATAAAGGTAATAAGGATTTTAAAGATCATAAAATAACTAAGCATCAACAATAGAGCTCATGACACTGAAAATTCAAAAGTATCGGACAGTTATTAAAACAACTCCAGTCCTCACCTTCAACTTTGTTTGCAAGAGTTCTTTACTAGTAATGATGTTGGTCACCTCTGTTTCATTTAGTCCATGAACAATTGCTGGACCTCCTAGCGTCGCATACAACGTAACAACTATAGGGAAAATAAGGGCAAGTCAATACTTGAACATTTCAAGGGTATACTAAATGTAGGTAAAGCCTTTGAAAGTGGACATGAATCAGAAGGGAGCATACTGAACCCTCCATCATTAGATCCATACTTTATGATCTAAATGTACTGTTTTCCTAAATTTTTTAATACGCTAATTAACATTATGCCTACTCATTCTATCCTAACTTCCCCCAAGGTTTCCAATATTTTAAAATTTAAAAATATTTACTTTTATTTTTTTTCACCTACAGATGTTACTATGGGACTGTCATATTAGAAGTAATCATATCTGACTTCTAAAATGTCAAATCTCAGTTGTTAACTACTTGATACCAAAATATGAAAAAAAAACATATACCAGCCCTGACCGGTTTGGCTCAGTGGATGGAGCATCGGCCTGTGGAGAGAAAGGTCCAAGGTTCGATTCCAGTCAAGGGCATGTACCTTGGTTGCGGGCACATCCCCAGTAGGGAATGTGCAGGAGGCAGCTGATCGATGCTTCTCTCTCATCGATGTTTCTAACTCTCTATCCCTCTCCCTTCCTCTCTGTAAAAAGTCAATAAAATATATTTTTAAATAAAAACAAAACATATACCAATTAAGATAACACATTGTCAGATTTAAGGTATTACATGTTACAGTAATAGCATGAACAAGTGTCAGTACTGCTTATCCCAGAAAAATCTAAAGAAAAACATTCTTAAAAATGCTGAAATTAAATAATATGGTAGATTTTTATTTGCTTTCTGTTTAATTCAATAGACTTAAAGTGACTTTAAGAAATGGTTAAAGCTTCTCAAAAGAAACACTTTATAAACCTAAACCTGTGGAAATAAAAAAGTGTAACAATTTAAAAGGGAGAAAAAAAAACAGTGAAGGCATTTACAGCAAGAAATCTGGTAAAAGTACCTTTTCTGTGGGGAACCTTTTTCCTGCCAAGGGCCATTTGGATAGTTTTAACATCATTCTCGGGGCCATACAAAATTATCAACTTAAAAATTAGTCTGCTATATTTGGTCAAACATTTAATTAACTACCCCTAATACCTTGGCAGGACCAGACCCAATGATTTTTCAGGACTGATATGGCCCGCAGGCCAGACATTCCCCAATCCTGATCTACAGGATAAGACAATGTCCATACTTAACATCACATTTTGGCACCAATAACTCTCAACTAAGCTTCCAGGACTACCTCACAGACTGAGGCATCATGAATACCACTCAAATAGATAAAATATAAAAATTCTCTATCATTTAGTCTAGCTGCTAGCACCTGGATTTGAGTATTGGAAGTGTTTTAAAGGGCAACTGCTACCTCTGATAGAAGTGGCCTAACAAAATGATGCCACCTTCAAAGGGGAAATCCTGAGAGATTATAGCAGTGTATAGGCATGGCTCCTTATACCCAGATAGTTCCCTATTAGTAGATTCAAGTCCCCTTACTATAGTGACTGCACCAATTGTTCCACAACTAGCTCCTTTTCCAAAAACAGATCAGTAATTTTAATAACAAGTTCTCCACTGACTGAATGCAAAGTGAAAAATTAACATCAGAATTTTACTCGTAAGAGATATTTATAATAAAAGTCAGTATCATCTCTCCCACAATAATGTAGGTCCACTCTTCCAGAAGACAAGAAAAAGAAAACCCACGTACGCTGAAAGTTATACATAAAGCACGCCTGTGCAGCAATCATCCATTCGGCCCTGGTTTCACAGAAGATAGCAATGTTGGTCTTTGGTTTCTGACCCAACACCTGTAAGCCATTTCCAAAATTCAAAGCTCTAACGTAGACATCTTCATAGGAGAGCCAATTATAGTGTCCAAGAATAACCTGGTAAAACAAACGAAAAACACACAAATAGCTTTCAATATAACCAAAATATTAATTTCTAGAAAGCCAGGATGTGTTCCAAATTTTGACTGAAAGTTATGTTTGCATGTAATTAAGCTATTTTTTAACAAAAAGAAAATGGATTTCAAGTGAAAAATCTGTTTTAAAAACTAGCTATTTTGTGATATCTTCTATGACAATTCAAATTTTATGCTAAATTTTTAACTGTATTTTGGGGGGAGGTGTTTTTTGTTTTCAAAAATATTCAGGGTTTGACAGGCTCTTAAAGGTCACGTTTCTGGCTCAGGGGTCATATACTAATAATTCACTTATAGATTTCATTTACTTAAAGGATTTAGCTAATAATTGAAAATTTAGCCTAGTATCAAGTACTACTGACACCAAAATTTTATTTTTTCTTTAGTTATGAATTCTTGGATTCGCTATCAGATGATAAAATACAATACACAAAAAGAAAACTGGCCAGACCCAGGCTAAGAAAGTGTTTGTGACGGTTCCATTTGAATGGCTGTATCTGACACTGGATAAGCGAAGTAAACAAGTCTCTCTTTCCATGACCAGGTTGGGACCAGAATACTCACTGGCACCGCCATTCAATATTTCATCTGTGCTTTCCCGAAGTTCAGATAACACTGAGTCTACATTAGTAACAATCTCCTTTTAAAGCTGGTTAACATATTTTTATCTTTAAGTTAGATCAGACTATAAATCCCCAACTACATACTAACTGATGTAAAAGCTCCTTTCACTGCAAAAATATATAGTTCCCAAATATGGCTTTGTCATCAATATATGTCACACACCTTAAAACCATCAAACCATATTCATTTTCAAAAATGCATACATTTAAGAGATTTTCAGAAATAAGATGAAGATAAAAATTGAAAAAGGATAAATGCTGCCCTCTAATGTCCTATTCCATAATGAACTTAAGAAATACTTATTTTGATGGATAACATGACTGTATTTAAAATATTTATTTAACATTAGTGGTCCCAAACTCTCACCTTGCTCTTCACCCCCACAAAATGTTCAGCATGGGGAGCTCCAAAACTTCAAAAGGAGCTCTGTGGGGGTGAGAAGACAGATGAGAATTGGGCCAAAACATGCAGGAACTGGATTGCAATTAAGAATTTTACACTCTAAAGATAAGCATGAGCTACCTCCTAGCTACTTCCTAGATTCAAGAATCTAAATGTCTAGCTTTTAAGTGTCAGAGAATATATGTATTCCAAAAAGGCATCCTATAGGATAAAAGCCTAATATGCTAAGTGTCCGGTCATCAGTCGT